CGTGTGGCGAAGAAGTCAGGTCACAGAACCCCCGGAGCATACGCAAGAGTTTTGAAACGTTTAACGGTTTAATGTTGCCCGTGCAACTGTCGAAGTCTGAATGACACTTGTTGCGTGCTTCCGTGAGCAAATTGTATAGTAACCCCAGCAACCATGGCAGATTCTACAGATATTACTACAGCCTCAGTTTAAAAGACGTAGGCAATAGTTCATTTCTGTAGTAACCTGTTGAACCAGACAACTATAATTAGTATAGGATTGTAGAGTATTTATGCAGTTATATTTAAGACAATTCGATGAAATGAAGCTTATTCACCATGATATATAGAAAAATCAACTTAGAAAAGAACAAATATTCTGTTAGGTCGTAACTCCGAATTTTTGAAAGTTTGTTTTTCTTAATGGTTGTATTTTCAAATACTAACAACAATTAGAAACTGATGTTGACAATAAAATAAAATTTTGTTAAATATTGTAATAAACAGTTATTCAGTTGATGATATTGTAGTCATTTTAATTATTTCACTACTTTCCTGTTTCTATAATATTAAACTTCGTGAACTCTAAACTCAATTTCTCAGTGTAGAAACTAGTCGAGACAGAACAATTTAGAAATAGTGTGACGATATGTAATACAGAGAAGAAAGTAAATATTAATTGAAAATCGGCAACTCACAATTGTATTTGCACGTCAATCGTATCGGGGGAACACTGCATATACTTTCAATAGAAATACAGGAGTTATCCATTAAACGGCCCGTGTCACGAGCACGTTTGCGTAATATCCGCTAAATTACATCGTCTAAAATCTGTCGTGTTGCGACGAGATTCCGATCTCTCGTAGAAAAAACATTTTCACAATGTACAATTACGCGCACGCGAGGTATGTACATCAAAACTTCGTCTTATCACACAAGCCTCCTGGAAAATTTGTTCTTTAATTCAACTTTCTCGTTTCGTAGGAGTTTCTCAATGGAAAACATATCTATATGAATGTTCAGAAACGGTTGAGATTCTAATTGTAACGATAATTGGCTCGCGATACAACAGAAACAACCAGGAGGCTCGAATGCTTCTACGACCGAATCAGTGTCCCGTGTATCATCTACGGTAATAGTTTTTTATTCACGTGTCAACAGTGTATAATTCTCTAACAATAAGTAGTCGTTACTCGCTACGCTCTCGCTCTATACAGTCTACAGGCCGTAATAATCGTATCGAGACCCTGGTGATTAGTTCACAAGTATTTATATTCTAAAGTTTTTTGGTCAGAATCCTTACGTTGTACAGAATTAATTGTTACATTGAGACCCTTTTGTACATTTGAACGGCTGACAATAACTCGAATCGCTTGTTCACGATGTGTGGTTAGCGTTCGTCTGGATCACTTTAAAAAAAAAAAAAAAAGAGACCTCAAGATCCATGGGGGACTACTTCCAAAATTGTTTGGAGTAATGTTGCGGGTAGAACTGGGACAGTTGTCGAAATATTTAAAATTCTTTTGTTACACGAACGAGCGTTAAGCTGCGTCTACACTATATATCATAACACGTTACATTTACGCAAAGTTATAAAACTAGCCTTTTGCCATTTGATTTCACGAAAATAGTACATATTTATAGCTTCGAGTGTATTAAGCGACTGAGGAAGGTGTCCTGGAACGTCCTGTCTAGGATTAGGCTGGTTCTCCATTAGGCTTGTTAGGAGAACAGAAAGAAAAATGTTACCCAGATAGCACACGAGGCTCAATGACGCTTTGAAGACGGCTTAAAGGCACCTTGGGCCTTAAATAGCCGTAAAATGGGCGTCTTGAAGGCGTCATGTGCTATCTGGGTATACAACGTGTTGTACATCAAGTTACATGTTATCCATCAAGTGTGACGCCCTTACTAATAATAAGATACGAAATGTTATACAAACTTGTTACAGGTTTGTTGAAAAGGTATTATTACGTTGTATAGCAAAGTCGAATAATAATTTGTTATACATAACACTCTTTTATTATACAGTGTAGACGCAACTTTACGTTGCGACTAGTCTCGGATGACCTGGATCATAAAGAAAGCTTCGAGATCGCATCTTTCTTTGTACTCTTTGCAATAGGGTATTACCCATTAGTAGCGTGTCCTCGTTTGCGTGAAAAAGTTCAGTGTCTCTGGTGTAATCATTCTTCCATTCCGAACACGGTAACAATTTCACACAGTCACTTCGATACATAATTAAACGAGACATTATACCAAGAGGTTAACAAACAATCCCAGATATCACATGACGCCTAACGACGCCTTAATTACGCCTCAAAGACGGCGTAAAGGCGGCCTTAGACCTGAAACAGACGTAAAATCGACGTCTTCAAGGTGTAATGTGCTATTTGGGATGTGTTTTACGATCGTCTTCAACAAGTTTCTAGGATTATCTTCACCGAGGACACACACAGTGGCGGTCAAAAGAATGTTTAATATTAGAATTTTTATACAAATCTATTAATCTATATCGACTTAGAATCATCGTTTTCACGCGAGTGATTAGTTGAAGAAAGCATTTATATTTGGTTGTCGATAGAAAATGTAATAAAGACGAAGATAGAATAGTAGAATTAATAAATCTATTGAAACTATCGAAACTATGTTTAATATTTCGTAACGAATAATGGAATCACCAACATTAAGTTGCGTTTAAACCCGTGTTTACCGAATGTTGTTCGTCGTTCGAAACGTTCCGATGACCACCGGCTGTGTTCAATTAATCGAGCAGAATTGGCCTCTCTGCGCCTTTGACGATAAGCAAAACACGCGATCACAAATTAGTCGTTCGTTAGCCAAAGTGATTAACTCCAGAAAATTTGCATCTACAATTTATTTAACATACAAAAAGTGAAGCGCCAATCAAGTGCCTACGTCTACTAAAAGGCGATAAAAATTCGAAAAAAAAAAAAAATGGAGTTACTCACTTTGTCCTGTGAACGGTCCAAGTATCAATTTTATAAATCGAGCAGTAAATTTCGCTCGATCGATCGAACATGTTAATCGAACTAGTACTTTCATGTTGCTTATATCTATCAACATTTTTTGTTTCAATTGTCGCGAGAAATCTCGAGGTTACAGGGTGGGGCAGATCAATTGTGCCTCGAATTCTTTCGACCGTATATTTTTCCACATTATTTTGAGTATCATTTCTTTTTCCACGCTTGAAATACGAAAACAAAATAATTCTTTATTTGAAATTGCTATTATTTCAAATGAATCGATAATATTTTTATTTTCAAATAACAATATTAACACGTTGAATGCCGTGGGGGTCACCGGTGACCCTCGCTCTAGGGAGTATACTCTCCGATATTATTAATATTGGACCATAAATCGATAAACTTCTAGAAACTAAATGCCAAAAGTATGATAACATAGTTGACTTTAATAATTTTATATAACATTTTATTCTTCTACACTCTGTCTAACGAAAATTTCACTTCGACGCTGTGGCTGAAATTTACGAAAATCCTGCGGCATTCAACGTGTTAAAAATAAAGTTCCGAAATCAATTATTTTAAATAGTTATTTCTTATGTTCATTGAAATTTACCCAGGTCTGCGCGGCCATTTTGAAACGAGCTCGTCGCCGTCATCGGTAAAAACGGAGCAGTCGCGGGAAAATCGACGCGTGTGTTCCGCGTGTATTGCTGTTTGGCAGAGAAACTCGGTGATAAATCCGACTGTCGCACGGTTTGCCAAAAAGGTTTGTTTAAAAATTGACAGCGACTTGGAAGAGCATCAGCAACAGAGTTCTCTCGTCTGTACCGAACGAACTGTTTCTTTCGATCGTTTCGGGGTCTCTTTCTTCGAGTTGTCCTGTCTCGTATGTGTGCGTAACAGCTAATACTACAGCTAGAGGAGCTTTCGATCGAAGGAAGGTGTCTTTTCCTGTTTCCGAACCCGTCGACGTTATGATTCGACGTGTTTTACGCGGGACCAATGAGAAACCTCGAACCATACGAGGGATTTCTCGATTATCCGGAGAGGAGGGTCGTATTGTTCGACGTATCAAGAAAATATACAGATTCATTTATTCTTTTTTCGCTCACAGACAGAATTCAGTCGAGATATTTCTTGATTCAAGTTCGTATTGGGGGATGGAGTCGCGAGGAATGGAACAGCACGCACGTCCTTCTTGGATCTGAGGGTAAAAACACATGGAACGTTATTTATAGACCGCGGATTTTAATAATTTATAACATAAAGAACCATGTGAAGTGCAATAGAAGATAAAATTTCCATCGGGTTTGACATTTATATAATTATATAATTATAGACAATTAGATATATAATTATATCTGGGTATCCACTGAAAAATCACGCGAGTCTAGGAAGGTTAAAACAAACCGAAAACAAAGATTCACATTCTAAACATCCTTCCTACTATTCTCCTTTTATAAAAATGCCAGATGATGATTAAGAACAAGGACGAACATTCAACGATCCAAGAATCTGTTCCATTTCTCCCAAGACTCACCCAGTATAAAACGCTCCCGGAACACCTCTCCCGGTGTCACGATTCTCCCACGTGACTATCTCAGGTTCACCAAGTTATTTCGCGTCGATATTTACACGGGGGCGATAAATCAACTCCGTGTTCGGTGCATCGGAGAACGGTCGTCTCGGAGGCGATAATTCTCTCTCGAGTACGAAAATCCCGTCTCGTTCCCGTACGATCCGCGTGAGCTCGCGATCTGCGGTAGAATAGAGGTTGACGGGAACGGGACAGGAGGGATGGGTTTTCGGGCGGGAAGGGGGAGGGGTCGATTTTTCGTTCGCCTCTGAAACGGAGCGTCATTAGTCACCAAATGGAGGGGGGAGGGGCGGGATGATGGGAGGGGAAGGGGGAAGAGGATGGAAGGCGGAGGGAGGGGTGGGGAGATGGTTTTCGACGCGGTTAGACGGTGATGTAGTACGCCCTAGGCTTGCCCCTCGATGTAGTCGGGCTGAAGAACACGCTCGGCGTCGGGGGCGTGAAGGGCCATGAGGCCCACGTGGGCGGGGTCAGCGTGCGTCAGGACGTGTAGTAGCCCTCGTGACGTTTACGACACTTCTCGCGGGCGATGTAGCATAGAGCTATGGTGATCAATACCACGATCGTGATCCCCATACCGATGCTTATCCAGATGATCTCCTCGTTTATGCCGCTGTAGCCTTTGCCTGAAAGTATGCTGAATTTATTTTTGTAAACGTGATGGTGCACTCGGCGGCGATTCATGATCAGGCTCGGGATCATTTATGGCCCGTGGAATGATCAGGTTTTGGTGGTGGAGAATTATCGATAGTAATATTGATAACACTGTTCAACAGCCATCTGGACTTCAGTAGCCGTTTTAAGAAACAAACGATTTTTAGTCGGCACCCTTAGTTTTCGAGAAATTTGATTTTGAAGAAAATGCAAATTTACAACTTCGAACATTTCCTGTGGTTAGACAGTAATAGTTATTCGGTCGATTGTTGCGTCAAATTATTCTATAAACTATCTCAAATGAAATGGGATATGTTAGCTAAATGATCTAGATCGATTCATCCTCAGTGGAACGAAAGTAATGATTCCCTGAAACATTCTTTCAATTTTTCTGGATCAATTCACCCTCAGTGGAAGAAAGTTAATAGTATCGTGAATTATTCTTTAGACGAAGGCTAGTCGAGTCCCTGCTTGTCGTCTGATCTGCATTCAAGAAAGAACCTGGACTGATCGTTCCGTGGACCATAAAGATAGCCCCACCATTAACTTATCGAATAAACGTTTCACCGACATCGACGTCGCCCGACATTATGTGTTTGGGGACATTCGAATATGTCCATGAATCAGTATCAATACATTAAATTGTGGGCGAAACGTTTTTTGGTAAGTTAAAGTGGACCCTATAAAGATCGGGTTTGGGTGATGTCGGTAGACGAGACAACAATATGGTCGTAAAATCGACTGGAAGCTAAAAATTATCGTGTCTGGACGACGCGAGGGTGACGGAATTGACCAGAAATTTGGGGTATGATAGCTTGTACGGAGTTTTTCGTGGCGGGAATCACGTTTACTTGGCTGACTGTTATCAAGGGTGTCCCAAGTAACGCGAACACTTTCAATATCTCACTTGTTTTTAGAGTTACAAAAAAAAAAAATGCGAGGGGAAAGTATTATTTAGTTGGAAACAGTAAATACAATCAAGGTCATTGATGTTTTTTTTTTTAAATGGAACTTCATATTTTTATCAGCTTGACGTAATAGTTAAGGTCAAAACCAATCCAATGAGTTATAGTATTGTGACCTTTACATGATCTTGAGTACGAAAACTCGACAAATGGTAAAGAAGTAGATTTAAATAATAAAGCAACTACGATAATTATTTCGGAAAATCATAAATCTGATATTTACGGTGCTCACGTTAGGTGGAACACATTGTATACCAAGTCGCTTAAGGGGATCGTTTACTATATTTGTTCCAGGGAGAGTATATACATTGGGTTCTTTCAGGTGTCTGGTTAGGGTGGCTGAGCCAACTTTCGGTTCTGGTATTAATTTCACACTAGAAGGGAAACTCTGGAATCCTTTGAGATTCTCGAATCTTAAACCGTTGAGGTTTCTCTGTTCAGACTGGCGAATTTGAGGAGGGGAAAACTTAAACTTGTGGTTTCGTTGGATTTATCGACGAAGGCAATTACGAATCTAATTTCGTTATATTACATACGTGATAAAATTTCATAAATAATACAAGTTCGAGACGATCCAACGGGACCATGTTATTTTATTATCCGATTTCCGTAGAATCGTTTAATTGTTACACGTATTTCAATATCGAAACGTGCATCCGGTTGCTATCGTAAATATGCAGGATATGGAGAAAATTTCGTGGACGGTGTTCAATAAATTGCGATGTGTACAACGGGCACACGTAATAACAATGGCTCACAAATTTGTTCACAGACTGCCAGATTGTTCAGAACAATTATTCTGAAAATGATGGTGATAAGGCTGGAAGCTAAAAAGGATAAATAAGCAGAGATTATGTAGAAATGAGTAAATATTTACAATAAAGGAGCCCCCTCCGATTTCGATGATTTTTTAATATGGTATCAATAGCCTGCGGATTTTATGCATTTATAGAATACTCGATCATATAAAATTCATAGTAAAAAAGTTAATATCAAAAAAATGTTAATATCCTAATTTAGCAGTACCGATAAGTAAATGAATTATTGTAAATATTTATCTAAAAATGTTTACAAGTGATGGTTTTTTATAGAATAATATTCTTGTTTACATTACCATTGTAATGGGAACTGTAAATCCCGACTTTTCCAGCGACCCTTCCACCCACCGGCATCTGTTGTTCCGCGCCTCGCCTTGGCACCTGGAAAGATCCAGTTTTTCTTTTTAATTACTGACACAAAAGCGACAACAAATTGAACATCGCTTTGATAAGGTTTCCTTTGGAAAAAAACAATATACGTATATATTTCCGTGGAGAAAAATGGTCCAACGCCTACGAGACAATCGTTGACGTGGAAATTCAATATCGTTTGTGAACGGTAACAAAAAAGGAGTACAAATTATTTCTCGGCTTTTGTGTGTATTCATTTGAAAGGTACAATTCGCGACCTCTGGGACTGTGAATACAATTTCGTATTGACAGAAGGAATAAGAAATATAAATAAGGGCATAGAGATATGTAAAAGAAGTACAACGAAAACTGTATCGACAAGAGAAGTAGTAAAAATATATAAAGGTATGGAAATTTGTAAAATAATATAACGGAAGCTCATAATTAAAATTAAAAATCTAACGAATAATACTGTCAAGTATAACAAACAAGTTTCAGTAGCATAATTAAATATACATTAGGCAGAATTATGTTACATTCATGGGAGTATCCACTACGTTAATTATTTAGCTTGTTCTACTGCAATTAATCGATAGTACATTTCACTTTTAATTGTATATTATAATCAATGTGGAACAATAACAATATTAACGAAATAATTACACATGTAAAACCGAAAAAATGCAGTTATTAATGTTATGTGCCAGTGTTACATGAATTGATGAGGTTTTCAATTGCTACTTTAATCACAGAGCTACTGATTCATTTAATTACGTAACACGATCTGTGTTCCTTCCCTTACGGTTGACCTTACGGTTGACCTTCAGGTCGGAGGACGAAGAGGATCTGTGTGTATAACCGTGGATACGATGGTCAGTGTGTGGGTAGGAGAAGATTGATGAAGGACTGGAAGAAGTTTGGTTTTTTCCACCAACCTGGACAGACAGTCTTCCTCCGAAGGTTAGGAGAATTTTGGAACAAGGTTGTCGAGGTACCGTTTCCTTCCAAGCTGGTAAATCCGAGCTGGCACGGAGCTCCTTCACAGTAAATGCATGATAGGGAGCGAGGGGAGGCGACCATCTATCGAGACTGATCACCGAGCAAAAGTGGCGATTGCGAGAACAAGTACACCGATTTACCTGGATGGTCAAAGTGTCTCGGAATTCTCGCTCTGATGTGTTCACCAGACTTTGTTCATAAAAAGTCTGTCTTTTTATATAAAAATTTACACAGTCTTTTATACAGTTCCTGGCCAAAAAATTGGGGTCGACCATAATTTTACAAATTAATAATAATTTTTATTATCTGGTAAAATACTTACATATGTATATTACCTACATACGTGTTAATAATTTATATATTATTGTATGTAATATCTTATTATTTTATAGTGTGCATAGGAAATCAGGTTATTGACTGCAGTATACCCATTTACATCGTTTAACGATATTCAGTTCCCGATAAAATGAGTCTATTTAAATTCCCGCGTTATCTGCGCACGTGTACACTTCTGCATCGCCGATAAGCGTCGTTCTAATCCCGGCGACCTCCAGGACGCCTAAAACCCTTCTTGATTTTACACGAAACGGCGTACAGAAGGTCTGAGAGGCGTGCAACGCTCGCCGAGACGCAAATTTATTCCGCGAGTAAGCTGTTTAATTCAAAGTTTAACGCGGTAGGTATACGCTAACGCGGACCAATTTTCCAGACAAAGAAGGAAGGGGAGGAGATAAAGGTGAACGCGTGTATGCGGAGCACGAGTCGATTCAACGGCATACAACGCTTCGGGGGGTTTATTTGCGCGTGGAACCGAAGTATTCCTCCGTGTACCGCCATTCTGCAGCGACAAATAATTAAACCTGCAAGATTTCGATTCTCCGATTTAAATTAGATACGAGCAGAGTAATCCTTCGGTTTTAATTACTTTCACCTGGATTCGGAGTTCGACCGACTTTCGAAGAATTATAAATAACTCGAAATTTTTATTTCGAAAGGATGAAAGCTTTTTTTTAAGTCGATGGAGTACAGTTATTTTTCGTGTCTTTTGAAGCATGAGACAATTATTTAGGGCTGAAGTATTTGTTTTACGTCGTGGGGGATTTATTCGGTGAAGGGTTTAAGCTCTTTGAAATTAATATCGTGAAATAATGAACCGTGTATTTTTAAATTGCTCCATATATATATCCCAAGGAGTATTTTTCAACGATTTATCGATAACGAAGTTTATATTTATTTCGTCGAAAAGAAGCACGCGAACCGATACACAACACGAATAATGGGTTTTAAGGTCTACGCATTTTCGGTGGCTGGTTCACGCGTACAATCGATACCAGTCTCAAGATTTATTGGCATCGCGTGTTAGTATTGGTGTGCTTACCGTGGTATAGAAGTATCGGTTGCCTATGAGTAATGTCACCCTCGAGGTTGAGTTTTACTTGAAAATAACGACACGTTTTTATATTTCTTATTTCAAGAATCCATCATAACACGAAATGAAAAATAATAAACGAATTACTATAATTCTAGATAAGGTAAACGCACCAATGAATGAACACTTAAGAGATCTTGTAACTATTAAAGTCGAACTTTAAATGATAACAATATTAATAAATATTTGACACATGAAAATTAGATCTTTTAATATCTATAGTTTTACTCGTCAATTTAGGTCACTTAGATTAGTCAGTGTCAAGTTTAATAACAGTCCAGTGATAGAACCTCATCTTTCATGCAATTTTCTCTGACCTTTAGACATTCCATTTTCACATACTTTCACATCTCTGGTATATTAGAGTATTCATTACCGGCTATAATCGTCCCCGACACGTGCATTAAATTAAATCCCGCCCATATAAAAATCCATTCGAACCGTAATCCCCATTCCGTCATCAAGGACAAATTTTACGAACACGCGGAAAAATCACCAGATTCATATCTTTCGTTCTATAAGAACCGAGCACAAGACTTCCACGAATTCTCTCTCGTCAATCGTTCGATATCCAATCATCATTCAGATACGATAAGGGTTGCAACCTCAGAATCCAATTAGACCTTCACCTGTGATCCGGCACATTTTTCGATCGAAGACCGCTTCCTCTCTACCTGGTCAGTGATAAATGGCAAGAGATGAGATCGATCGTCTCGTCTCGTCTGTAAGAGACATGAATACGTCTTAATTTTATTTTTAATATAAAAAGAATAATATTAGGTGTACCCATAAGTAGTCCATTTATTTCTTCTAATTGTGAGGCGATATATATTAAATGTAAAGTACCTGCTCAATTTTTCACTGACTAAAAATAGTGTCGGGTATTGGAAAATTATTATGAATGTAAATGTAACAGTATAGATCCTTGATTTCCCTAGAAACGAATACTGATTTCTTCAAGAAATAATGCATAACTTATGGGTGCATCTAATAATAACTATGGGGAGCTAGTTCGAGTCTATGACAAGAGAAAAACGACAGAACTCTTGAGGATACACAGTTTCTGTAGGAATAAGAAACAGAAATGACATTGCATTTTTGCTACGAAAGTGACACAACTCAAGGACAGTAGTTCCTCGAAGAGAACAAAGGACTGTCACAAATCATATTCCCACTGCGAACAGAAAAAGTGACAATTGTTCTCTGGAGCTAAAATATTACACTTTTGATGCTTGGTCGAATTTTTGCAGTATGCTTGCGATATGTACGTTCTTTTGCAATGGCCGGAACTTTTCTCACATTAGTAACAAATTAACATGTCTTGTCAGACGACGATGACTGAAATTCAAGCACTGTCAAATGACTAATTAACTGGTCCTGCCTTAGCGAAGGAGCATTTCCAAAGGACGAGTTAATTCGTCTTACCCAGTAAAGAAGCCTTTCCAAATGGCGAGTTAACTCGTCTTGCCCAACGAAAAACATTTCCAAATGACGAGTTAACTGGTCCTCATCATTTAACAGGTCAATTGAGGTCAGATTCTTTTTCTCCCACTCGTTCGTCTATCCGACAGACATATCTAACGTCCACTCGACCTACAAACAATGGTCCGTCATCGGTGTCTACGCTCGAACGGACGCAACAAGTTAGCATCCCCCTTGTTCCATCCACCATGGACGTATTCGCACGCGTCGCCGTTAGTCTTTCATTCGTTCGTCGTCGTAATTACGCGGGTATACTCGTCGGTAATATAGTCGAGCTCGAAGACTTTTGTTATTTTGTTATCGTGATTCTGCTGTCATTGTCGGAAGAACCAGTCGATATATCCTCACTAATAGAACACTCGACTTTAACGGAACGCAAGGTATCGTTGCTTACGATATGTAATTCGACGAGCCTGCAAAATTATGGGAGGAATTGCAAAATGGTTCAGGGGACCTGACGTTCCTCGCGCATTCCACGCTCGTCTTGGCAGACTTTCGGAATTTTGCCCGCATACTTCGCGCGGTAAAGGAACGGTGATAGAAATCTGCGATGGAAAGGGGCTCAGGGTGATTTTTGATACATTGGGTTGGCCAAAAAATAATTTCCTGTTTCTGCAGTAGATGATGATTTTTTCATTTCAATAGAAAGCACTGCTTCTAATTTATAAACTGTAGAAATGTTTTAAAAGTTGATACTTCGACGCATCGTTCGAAAAGAAAATCATTACGATTGCGTAAAATTTTCTTCAATTAACATTGTTTTTCGAAATCAGCGAGGAGATGTACTTTCGAGCAATTATGCTTTTTCTTATTTCCGTTTGGAAATCGTTTTTCGTTGTTTGTACCGTGTTTTTCTCTTTTTGGAAATAAACGTTTTAATAAGTTGCAAACGTTACAAATATTAAAAAGCAATGGAAAATAGTATGAAAAGAGTCTATTTTTGCTTGGAATTTTACATTTCATATAAAGTTCATTATTCGAAGAAATATATTTTCGTTTCAATAAAAATGCTTCGGTCTGTTTCGATGTAAATAAATTGTCGTTGCGTTATCGAACCGTTCGAATTGCAATTTCGACAATGTAACACACGTGA